TGTTTCTAATAGGACGAAAAAAAAAAAAAAAAAAAAAAAAAAACTTGAGAGAGAGAGCACACGTCCCGCTACCGAAACAGTTATGATGTATCCTTCTCCCCAGCCATATCCCGCTCTCGAATAAGATCGGAAATTGCCCTGCCGACGCTCATAACTCCACACTCTTGCGTGTAATGTATTACGCGCTGCAGCGCTGATAAGTTTTTCAACGAGTGTAAAATCGCGTCGATCCCCAAACGCGCGTCTCAATCTCTCGAGACAATATTTGGCCTATCGTGAGAAATTCGAGGCAGAATCTTTTTTTTTTTCTATTGGATAATGTCACTCTATGCCCCTCGAGGTCAATTCCTCGGGTAGGTATTTTATTGAGTCCGAGTAGCTCCTCCGGTGCGACAATGGACTTTTTGAATATCGGTGGAACTGTAGAAATCCCACGGGTATAAATATGCACCGTCAAAGGGTACGGTATATATATGCATCCTCTCGCTGTCCGCGTGATGTATCGCGCACAAAAGAGATGCGCCGTCCGGTACCATCGAGCGCTTAATCTCACAGTTCCCATTAACAACGTTGGGGGGGACGCGGATAGAGAGCCATTAGTCATTGTATCGAGAAAATTTATCCGAAGCCGCGTGTCTTTGAAATCTCCTTGCGGCGCCGTTAATCAGAGGAGAACCGTTAACCCTGACGCCGATTCTAACGATCGCGCGAAAGCAGTCGAAAACAAACAAAAAATGTCCCAAGTGGAGCGTATATGATACGCGCGCCAAAGTCCCAAAACGGCTTATATGAGCCACGAAGTTTGTTCGTTGCACGTAAACTCGCGCTCTCGTTGTTTACTCGCTGTGCAGGTGATATAACGGGCTGGGATGCTTATCGCGATTAATCGATTTGGATTGGAGCGCAACGATTAACATAAATCGCGCAATTAAATTCAATAAGCTCGACTGTGCTTCACAACAAGCGCCGCGTGAACGTATAAGGGTATCGAGTTAACGATGCGGAGATAATAGTTACGGGGAAGGAGAGGAAAGCATTTTTACGCACTGCGTGCGATTTATTCACAACTTCCTTTCCGTGTGTAAGGGCGCGCGTTAATGATATACGCGTTTTTTGTTTCTTTGTATACTGGCGAGTCGTGACTGCGAAGCAAATAAAGCTCGAATCGCGAGCTTTTCCTCTGTTTTCTCAATGCGTTGTATGGAACAAAAGGTATATTGATGCAGATACAGAAAGAAATATGAAAATAAATGTGCAGGTTAAACATATGCATGAGCTTTCTGAAATACATACATTAACCATGCCGTACTTCTTTAGAAAAAAAAACTTCGATGAGCCCGTATCGTGTACAATTACATGAAAAAATTAATAAAAAATAACAAAACCCACAGTTGTCTTACACGGTGGTTATTACCTTGAGGAATTTATTTTTACAGATATTATTCTGAATTTTTTCTCTTTGGTTATTTTACCAAACACTATTAATTGTTTCTTTTATTGGTATTGCTGGACATGTTTAATATTGATCCTACTACGAAAAACTTTTTTAAATCATACTTACAATACGCTGAATTCGAGTCTTAATCCCCACCTTTGTATAAATAAAGATATATAAATAAACACTTCACCTGAATCGAATCTGTCGAATTTTAAATTAGATTCTAAATTCGATTTCTAATTATTATTATTTTTTTTTTTATTTCAAATAAATCCGATTTTTAAACCCAACAAACAGAATACGATCCTGATAAGGTCAACAGATTCAAGGCATTAATATTTGTTTTACTTGTAAGCCAAAATAAGAGCAAATGTCAAGATTAACTTGTCTCTAAATTGTAGATCATGTTATTTTTTCTAATTCGTCTTGATAACAGTACACTTCAAAAATGCTACGATCCAAAATAATAAACAATTATATTATTCTGGAGCCACATGGTGGTTGTACCGACTGGTTCAATAAAGACTTTACTCTGTGACTTATTTGTGTTCATATAATTTGTTGGTTTTCGAAAAACGTACGGAAAAAATACATAATAAAGCTTAGTACCTTTCATTTTTTTTAGTAAAAACGAATAAAGTTATGTGCTCATTTTTTAGTGCTGTTGCAGGACGAGAGTACTGAAGCCGAAAAAATGAGTGAAAATTAATATGCAAGCCACGCACAGAGAGGAACGTACATATTTCTATATTCGTCCACGCATTATTAACATTGTTAACTATGCAGAGAAGAAAGTACAAATTGACTACAAGAAAGATCCGAGGGATGGAACAAGAGTGACTTTATAAATTTTACTAAGAAAACAGTTACTTTTTTTTTTATTGATGAAATATGCGAATTCAAAAGAAAACATCACGCGTTGTGTGGTACTGAGATCGGTAACATCATTCTTCTTCTCGGGCTTACTTATTTAAATCATAAACAGTTTTGTTCGTTGAGGAAAAACTTGATCAACTGATAAATATCAGTGTACCAATTCACTTTACAAGCTCACAACAATTTTAAAAAATCGGTAAAAATCGGTTTATAAACATTATCATGAGACAAAGTCCCGATTTCTTTACTAAACAATCCTTCATAATTTTCCACATGGTCGCAAAGGAAAAAAAAAAATTGCACCCAACCCCGGAAAATTATGTACAATACTGCATTTCTCGTGAAAAGGAAGAAATACGTCAACTCGGTGGTCCGTATCGGTTGCAAAATCAAAAAAAGTGGATGCGCGTCCAAGTCAAGCGCCAGCCCGCATGAAATTCCTCCACACGGCAAGGCTCAAGAGTGGCGGCGGTGTATAGTATCGGGCCCCGCATCGACACGGGCCGTACGGTTCGCCTCCCCACCTGATGGGCTCCGAGATGCGGGGCCCCACCGGCAAGCCTATAAGAAGACCCGCGCCGCAATGTCATCTTCCAGAAGCTCGAGTGTCGTTCGAAGACTACAAGAGAGTTCGTTGCAAGATTTTCCTGCTAAGATTTTGTTTTGAGAGCAAAAGTGAGTTTTTTTTTTTTTCTTCAGTAATATCGAGTTCCCTTTAAGCTAGAGCTGCGAGTAAGGAAATCAGGTTGGTTTTAAGCTCTACCAAAGCTAGCGAGTGCTGCGTGTAAATATATAGGAAAAGCGTGACTGTATCGCTATGCGGGTTTAAAATATATACTTTTTTTTTTTATTTCAAAGTGAGGAACTGCGACGCTTAATTTTCTCCTGCTTGTGCTGGTATTTTTTTTTCAATTTCTCTCTTTCGTTTGTGCTGATGAACCAGTGATTTGAGTGACGTTATCAAATAAAAAGATAAGAATTGTACTTTATAGAATTTTTTATTTAACGTGATTGATTAATTTGGCTGCTAATAACTTTCATTTGAATAAACAATTTTTTTTAATTACTAGTTTTTTTCTTTATGTAAACAATGATACATCGGTTGAAATTTCAAAAGACAAAAACTTTATTGTATTCATACAGATCATAAAAAAAACATAGAAAGTCACAAACGAATCGTTAGGGTTTCACAAACTTTCTGCTCCACGAGCACGTGAAATTGTCATCAGATGTAAAAAGTGTGATTTTATCAGATGTATTGCTTTATTAAAGCACCATACTAATACGAATTATGATAATAGCTTGTACCGAAAACTTGTAAATTTTTTTTATTTTGTAATTGTAATTGGCAAAAGTATCGGTGAATAATCATACATTTCATTGTTCGTATAATCGTAATCAGTGAATAAAATTACAATTAAAGTTATCGAATCCATGATTTATCTGAATCAATTGCAGCGATCGGTTCACAAAAACACCACCACTCATCGGATTTTGATAAATAATATTCTTTCGAAAAGTAAGGATAAAAGTATGGCCGAACCGATCTTTTACCGATACGCGGCCGATCTTCGTCAACCAGTCGGGAGGAGGCATCGGCGATCGGTAGTAGGTCGCGACCGCCTTTTCGAAAGTAACGGTGCCTCTCTCTCTCGTTCGCGCACGCGAGAAGGTGGTGGCACGGGTCAAGAAACCCGCTCGATCGGAAGTGGGCTAACGAGTCCGCCTTCCCCGGCTCCGTGGCCGCCCGGTGCTGCTGACCCACTTTCATGGTCAAGGTTCCTCTGTGGTGCACGTACACGAGCGCTCGCGGTCCTGCACGATTTATCCGAGCAACCATCCCACCTGCCCCGGGACGACAAGTGCACATCTTACAGCCGTAGATCGTTTTCTTACTTGCACGAGGGATCGGTAATTTTTTGGTACATAGAGATAAAAATAGGCGTTCATCGTTTTTACCCTATAGCTCGGAATTTTTATTTATTTCCATCGAGTTCCTACGAAAATCTCGGTCTAATTTCAACTTCCAACTCGGACATCGACACGCATTCCTCCGGTGTTTAACGGGACTCCATCGATACCGATCTAGTAATATTAGAGTCACCGATAGTTTGATTATCTAGCACCATCTCCAGAGATGATTAAAAATTTCTCTCGGCTTTTTTGTAGGTATATACGCCCCGTTCTCCGACTACTTTACCGGTACATTTACTATCACGGTTCATTCAACGGCGCCTCGTCGCCAAAATCCATTCGTGAAAAAATTCATGCCCGCAGCACACAAAGTGTTCCCAAGAGATATATGTGTGCGTGTAACACTTTCGGCGGTCTAGTTGCCAATGAAAGGAGAAAGAAATTTCACGACACACGAGTAAAGCAGCGCGCGGGGAAAGTCAAGCTGAGGTGGAAGGGGGGGGAGGGACACAAATTTTTAGCGAATTACGCGTCACGCGAGCCTTTGATTCCTCATGGGCACGTCGTGAGTGTACCTGCAGCCCAAGGAAATAATGGCGTGCACGTAACGCAGACGCGCGCGAGAAAGCGCTTCCTCCTCGGCTGCGGGGAGTTTCTAAAAATCGAAATTTCACGCGGCCTCTACCACCTCGGTTCTCTTGCTTTTTTTTTTTTGAATAACGATGGACTTTACCTTTTTTTCTTCCCTCCCAATGGCACTTTCAGAAGCAACATGCAAAGCAAACAGTACCTCTCCCTGTGCCTCGTGGCGCTCGTGCTGGGCCAGGCGTTCACCCTGCCCCAACAGGGGCTCTCGCAGCAGCAGGTCGAACAACAGGACGGGAGAAAGTTCGCGGAGAAGCCCAACGCCATGAAGAAGGTCGCCCTCGACGACATCGAGGACATCAGCACCAATTCAATTCAGGTAGATATACGAAGCGACACATTGGCCAAAGTATATAAAAAACACCCGATTTTATATAAATGTATATGTATTGTAAATTGTCAAGGAGGGCGTGGGCACGGGCTTCTCGTGGTCGAACATGCTGGGCATGCTGATGCAGATGCTGCTGGGCCAGACCGCGGGTATAGCCAGTCCGAGCAAGAACGAGATCGACGACGGGGTGCCAACCAGTCCCTGGGCCAACCTCCTGTCCGTGGGTCTGCGGGTCCTCACCGCCATCCTCGGGGGTCCCCAGCAACAGGTCGACGGCATCGACAAGGTCGACAACCAGGCCAGCAGTCCCATGCAGGTACAAATGTTTCCGAGCCCATACTCACTCTCTCTCTCTCTCTGTATAGCTTATAGGTAGATTTTTGGTTTATCGTTTTCCTGCACTGGGCGCAAATACATATATATATATGTAGATGATAAACGGGTGCTTACTTCCTCTTTGGGATTCATCGGTGTTCTTTGGTATACTTGTCGGGAGAAGGGGTAATTTACAATTGCGCGATGGGTGTTTTTCTTTCCTCCTCGCAACGAGAGTCGGGGAGACGCGTTGGGAAAGCCGAGATGGCCGGTGTTGTCACCTGTACGGCAATTATCCACTCCGGTGGAGCAGAGGTGGAGCACCCCGAATGTCCTTGCTTCCCATGTGAAATCGTCATTTCTATAATGTATGTATATGTATACGTAAATGTACACATAATGTGTTCTAACACCGAGAAATCCGGAAAAGAGGGAGAGACACTCGTGCGCGCTGTTGTAGCCAAAGTGGCTGCTATACGTGTAGTATAGTCGATTCGGAAAGAACCTCCGGGATCTTGTAATCTCGATTTCCTTTTTTTTCAACCATTTTGTCAACGAGGCTTTTTTTATTTCCGCACGCTTTGGTAGTTGAAACAAAAGTAAGACAGTAAGCACTGCAACAGTAGTAAGGTGAATGTCCCAATAATCGGTCACTTTATTTTGCTTTTTACGAGCCTTGGATATATATTTTCAATATATCAAAAAAAAACATGAATTTTTGGTGCCCCAATAACAATTCATTCATGTTTAAAAAAATTTACGTTAATAGAAACATGATCGGCAATTGGGACATTCACCTTAAGTAGTTATTGTAATTATAGAACATCTTGATACTATAGTTCTACCTACAACGTGATCCTTTATCAAAGTCCATTGACACCGATATGTGGAAATGGATCCATGACAAATGGAGACAACTCGTCTTGGATGTAGTTAATAACAGATCTTTACGATAATTCTCTTGTACATACTTTCTGCAATCCAATCCTCCACATTATTGGCTCTATATTTGAGAAAAAAAAAAAGTAATCCCTGCTATACACATAGTGAACCTGTGATCCCATACAGCTCCCGAGTAGAAGTGTTAGAGCTTAATAGTGAAAAATAGTAATTAATTAGTAATTAATAATAATCGCCAATTGTAAATACATTAATACATTGGACTGGAACGATTTCCGGTGCGGATTAGGGTGTTTTGACAGCGGTACTGGGCGCGTTTCTGGGACAGGGCCGAAATCCAGAACAGGTGGCAGTGATTGCCGGTCAAGCCTCTGAGGTCAGTAGTCACCTGAGACACACTGTATTATATATACATAACACACCTTATCACATTTTACACGGTAATACACGCCCACGCCCCCACACCTTTGCACCGTAATATACATATATATTTGTAATGTGTACATATAATGTAGAATAGCGCACTAAATAATCACGCTTTTGTAATCAAAATGCAGAGTTTAACGTAATGTTACAAATAACCTACATGATGAGTCTATGATGAAAAAATTATTGAGCCATGTTTTACATTATCTGCTACATCCTTTGTTTTTTTTTTTTTTTTTTTAACAATTTACTACAATCGGCTTCTCAATTTTTAAATTTTGTGCGACAAATGCTCCAACTGTTGAAACTTATAGCTTGTTGATACGTCACTTTCAAAAAAAAAAACGTCAAAAAAAAAAACAGATATTAAACGATTATAATCCAAGTCATTAACGTTTGTATCTGTATGATATAAGAAACAACAAGCCGCGGACATAGATACAACTGACAGACCACCACACCACACACCTCGAGGATACTTAACGAATATTGTAAACGAAAAAAAAAAAAAAAAAAAAAAAAAAAAAAAAAAAAAGACTACACTCGACTGTCACAAGACGCCAACCCCGCCGAAAGATATCGTTCCTAAGTGCCGTTATGTTTCTTGCCCCAAGCAGTTCATCAATATCGTCATCAATCTCCTGGACGCCCTGAAGACCTCCTTCTCCCACCGCTCGCTCCAGGCCCGCTCGCTCGGCAGGAAGGACACCGTGTCCGAGGCCGCGGTCGCCTCCATCTCCATGATCAAGGTATACATACGCCCAATCAATTTTCATCCTCCGCCGACTCAATCGAACCCGTCGATTTAAATTTAATTTATTAACGACCTGCCGCTCCAATAAAAATTCGCAGGGCTACTTGAGATCGATGAAGACCTTCAGTAACGTCGGCCGCGCCGAAGACGAGGGCCAGCGCGGGTGCGCCGAGCGCGTGTTGTGCGAAGCCAGTGCCGAGTGCGCCGCTGGCACCGCCGGCACCACGTCCATCTTCTGCCAGCTGGGATCGTAAGTTTGATCGGTCGTGTTTGCCACGAGGGGGGGAGTAAAAGTTTTTTGTTTTTTTTTTCTCATTTGGTAATTGGGTGTTGTTTTTGACTGGCAGGTACGCGGCGAGTTACATGCTGGTGAGGCAGAGCGGGGTGCCCTTCGAGGAGCTGTACGAGGCCGGTAGGCGCGGGCGCTCCGGGGAGGACTGCAGGACGCTCTTCCTCGACTGCAACAACGTCTGAGCCACCAAACGACCGTTTCATCATTGCACGACTAGTAGTACGCACGACGCGACGCAATTACGATTATTACTTTTTTTTTTTTTTGAATCGATCTATTTTTAGTACATCGCTTTTAGGCTTAGGTTATTTTTTTTTTTTTTTTTTTTGTTTCGTTTTTTTTCCCCCTCTCCCTTCATCTCTCGAGTGTGTTTGGCGACGGTTGGCGTGGAAAAATATGCTGGATTCGCTTCAAAGACTGAAATTTTTCGTGCTCAGGCGAGCATTGAAACAAAATTCGGGGATCGGGATGATGATTGTATTCGAAAAATTGTACACGGCATTTGGCATTTTTCCCCGCGCCACCCAATCATAATTCACTGTTTTGTATAACGAGACGACAATTCCAGACGTTGATTGCAAGGAGGAGGAAAAAAGGAAATTTCAACACAACGACCGGACACTGCGTGTTACATACATACCACATATATATATATTTATGATATATGTACCCGGGTATATGTCGCGAAATATACGAGGGTGTACCGCGCCCCACTCCGGGCCAATGCTAAGCGGACGCATTTTCCGTAGAAGTAGACTGAAACGAGTATAGTAAGTAGAGACTCTCGATTTCTCGGCTGGACTCGATGAGGTGATGACGTTGTGCTGTGAGCTTGAGCCCAGCCGAGCGTCGTCGAGGCTCCGAAAGTATACTATACGCCGCCGATGGATGAATTTTACCAATTATGTTTTACCTATCACCAACCATTTATTTATCAACTTTGCGTGGAAACTCATGGTAGCTCGGGCTCTCCCACACCCTTACCTTACACGACTACTCCCTAAAAACAACCTGTTTTTTCAATCTTTATTAATTTACCGACACTTGTGTACTCATTCATCGAAAATGTTTTTTTTTTTTTCTCTCTCTCTCTCTGCACAAGGAAAAAAGTATTAGGTGCTACATGTGTGATCGTCTCAACGTCACAACCGCACTGTCAACGTATCTCAGAAATAATTTATTTGTTGATGTTGCACCCTTTGAATCATTTTTCCATTCCCAAAAGCGTATTATTACTTTATAATTACTATTATTTCGTTCGTTATTATTTAATGTATATAGGCGTAACTTGTAAGCGCATATAATTATGCGCAAGGCTGGAAGTTAGGCAAAGACTTTATCACGATTCAGCTCACGATTATAATAATTTATTATTATTATGATGCATTAGACGTAATTATTTTGTATGTATGTGCTGAGGTATGACTCTTAATGACCATACGATAATAATAATAATAATAAAAAATAATTAAATTGAACAAATTGCTGTCGACTTTCATTTCGCAATACCAAGTGTGCAAATATGATAAAATTGCCGCGTAATCGTTTCGTGAACTAGATTTTATATTCCCATGGATATTAGAGTATTTTATTAATCTTATTTTCGATATTACCTTGCTGAGCCCATTGTTTTTTCACCCAAGTTGGATATGTAGGTATATAGTTAACATGTCCCATCTGACATACTTCAAATAGAAAACTTTAAACTACTTAATTCGACTCTAATTTCCCCCTAACAATGCAAAGTCCTTCTGATCCACTTACGTCAATGTTCTACAATATGAAGAGATAAAAATCACAGCTTTCACGAATCTGATAGTCACCCATTTGTTCGCTCTCCCACGCAGCCCCAGCATGTACTGAAAAAAAAAAAAAAAAAAAAAAAAAAAAAAAAAAAAAAAAAAAA